AAATTAACTTGACACACAAATTAAACCATATTGATGACAATTGTAGTATATATGTAAGTAGGGATCGTTCTAGGCCGGGGATTAACTAGGGATGCTAATCAACACAAATAAGACTTAAAAACACTAAACTAGATTCTATAGACTCTAAACTAACTTAAAAGACTCAAAACAGCAACAAACAATCAAAAAGACTCAATTCTAAACCTAACAAGTGATTTTGATGAAAATAAAGCTTAACTTGACTCAAAGGAAGCTAAATTGACTCTAAACAATTCAATACTATCAAATAGACACAAAATTGACTCTATGGGGATACTTAGACGAAATTTAACTAACTTAGACTCAAAATAACAATGAAGACAGATTAAAACTAGTTCTAACTAAAGGACACAACTCAATGTCAAGGGGGGTAACTCAATGTCAAGGGGGGTTTATTTGGACGAATTTAAACCTAAACTTAACAGATTGCAAAACAACTTAAAAGACTTCAAATTAAGCCAATTTCCAATTATTATTCCTTTAGACTATGAATGACAACGCCCCAAGTTAATTGCATCGCATAACTAACCATCAGATTTTCCTTATTTCATTGAATTGAATGAATACACATTACAACCAAATTATCTTTCTCAAGTTCTCTATATGAAACGTATAATAAAGATACATATCAAAAGTCATTAAGTTTTGTGAAAATCATAAGCATTGACAAGGCATTCATCACTATGAAACGCATGAGACTCGTACCAAGGATTCACTTAACATGATTGTGACTAGCAACCTCCACTACTTGTGAATATAAGTGAATAACTATTACGTGAAACTCCCTTATACTCTAGCATGAAATTCATGCATGAAAATTAAGTGTCGACCCTCAACCAACACACATAAACAAGTTTTGATAACTTAGATAAGCAAATCACATTCAAGACTCAAGAAACAATAATTGGATGTAATCAATTCATATAAAACATATAATCATGGCTTCGAATTCACCTCTAACTAAAAAGAAATTAGTTCCACATGTTCATCATAATTGAAAACCAAATTAAGATAAACATCAAACTAAAACTAAGGATAGAAAGAACCTAAAAACGCTCCACACTCCAATGGCATGCACGGCACTCCCTTGGATGGCAGATTGCACAAGTCCTCTTCTCCTTCCTTCCTTGCTTGCGACACTAGGGTGATGTGGTGTGAATTATGGTGTTTGATGGTTGAATGTATGAATGAATGAATGAGTGAATGAATGATTAAAACCTGAGGCAAAGGCTTGTATTTATAGGCTAGGTCTTGCACAATTTCTGAAGGAAAAATGATTGCACAATCCTAGGAGGAAAGGATTAGGGTTTTGGACCTTCTAGAAATCAGAAACCAAAGAGAATATGGAGAGGGTGCGGCATACATTTAGGAGTAGATGAGGTCTTCTAGAAAGAATATTAGGGCAGATTTCTAGAAGAACAAAGGCTAAAGGGTGCGACACCTTTGCAGAAGAGGGATTACAACTCCCAATCCACCAAGGAATGACATATATGTGGCACACAAGGGATAAGGTCTCTAGAATCTGAGTTATGTATTTAAATGTATAACTAATCCCTTCTAAATAGTTAGAATTAAGGCACAAACTGATTTGGATAGGATAAGATAGGATAATGCTAGATTTAGGAAAAGATAAGGTTGGTTAGGATAGGATAAGATAAGGTTGGATAATGTTCCTTATTTCTTGCTCTTTCCTTATCTTCTTTGTATTTGAACTTGTTTCTCCAGATTTATGGCATGTTCCTAGCCTCCATTGACTTCAATTTCGTCCATCCACCTTGCTCCATAGTTAAGTTATCCAATACATGCCAAAACTGCTCAAAATGGCTCCAAAATGCACTTTCTTGCCTACTTTGCCATTAGGACCTACAAACACACGAAAATAACTTAAAACACTATAATAAGTAGTAATTAGCTTACTAAATGCAAGGAAACAACATAGCTAAGTGGCATAAATATGCTCCTATCAACGGTTTTAGGTGCCTTAAGTATAAAGCAAGGCTAAAAGGTCCTCGAATGATGGTTGCTGGCCACGGGTGGGAAAAAATCCCCTAGCCACAGCTGGGTTTCAAATCTAGGTCGAAGGGGGTGCACGGGGGTCCAGCCGCAAATGGGCTGTGGGTTTGTTGTGGGGAGCCCATCAAAGGCTGGCTGCATGAGCAGGCCACTTGGACCAAGCCTAGCAATGTGTGCTGGCTGATGTGTGCGAAGGGAAGGGGCCCAGCCGACTGGGCTGGTGGATGAAGGCTGCGGGCCTTGGCTGCGTGGAGCCCAAGCAGAAGTTTGGTGCAGTCCGAGATGGAGCAACAGGCCTCGGGTCAAATTGCAGACAGGCTTAAGGCTTAAGGCCTATTACATTGACCTCAGGCTTAAGCCTGATGGTGGCGTGCACAATGATGGTGCAGTGGGAGTGCTGCACCATGCCCAATTTCCCTTTTTTTTTTTTTTTTTTTTTTTTTTTTTGTTCAAATCCCTTAGGTTTAGGAAACCCTAAATATGCTTCTAATTTATTTTATATAATTTGACTCACAAATTCAACATAACAATTTAATTGTGCAATGCATGAAACAAATATATATGTTGACAAATATATGAACATATACAATATATATATATCAGAAGGTAAATATAAATGTAGGGGGTTCATGCATCATGAGAAATGTTTTCATGCTTCAATGGTCGTTTCAAATATTTTACTTTATTTTAAGCGTACCTGAGCATAAAACAACAAAAGTCTTTGAATTTGTCGAAGATCCTCCTTGGAAAGTCGGAATTGCATCTCCAATGCGTTGTATCACGTTTAACACATAAAAATTAAATTGAATCAATAGCATGTATATCAATTCAATAAAATAATTAATCATAAAAAGATGATTAAAACGTAATACTCCCTTCATTGAAGATCAAACTCTCTTTAACGCAACGTCAAGAGCATGCTGATAACGTGTTGTAGGCATAATTTATTGAACAATTATGGAGGCCATATAAAGAGAGAAATGTGCGGCGATAGAGAGAAGAATAGAGAGATGTATAAATGTGAGTGTGTGTTATTCCACCCCATTGTGCCTTTATTTATAGAAGTATGAAAGATTAATTCCTTACCCTTTAGGATTACAACATTTAATAGGTAATCTACCCCTAATAAGAATATAAGATACATTCCCATATCTACTAGGATTTACACAATCACATTCCTATTCTAATAGGACTGCAACATGGATTTTTTTTTTTTTTTTTGCATTATTTGACTTTTCACTTCAGGTTATTAGCTCCTCGATTTCTTATCATCACGACACATATTGGGATTCAAATGAGAAAAGGAAAGGCATATTTGAATTTGTATTTTCTTATATATATATACATATATATGCTGATATGTTATTTTCAAATTGTGTATTTGGAAAGAAATTTATTTTGTAGTTTAGAAGTCAACTAAATTCTAAGAAATTCATGAGAGAAATCTATACAAATTCATAGAAATTTTATATAAATCTACCAAAATTCATATAAAATTGTAAAATCTATTAAATTTTTTTGAGATTTGTCATTTAAAAAAATCTGTTAAAATCATTTGAAATCCAAATTGACTACGAGCTAGTTCGGTATTGCTGTGTTTTTTTTTTTTAAATTGCTTTTGTTATGGTGTGAAATAAAGTTGTTGAGTGTTTGGTAATAGTGTCTGAGTGTTTTGGTAAATTTTTATATAAATTGCTGTGAATATATTAAATGATTTAAGATGATATGGTATTTAATGAAATATAATAATTGTCAAATAGAATAATGTAAGGGTAATGATTGTAATTTTATAAAATATGTGAAAATATGTGACATCTCATATCATCTAGGGCAGTGGATCCTGTAAGCCTTATATGTATATTCCCATCTTTACCTAGCATGAGACCTTTTGGGAGCTCACTGGCTTCGGGTTCTGTAAGGAATTTCGAAGTTAAGCAAGTTCGCTACAAGAGCAATCCCAGGATGGATAACTCACTAGGAAGTTCTTGTGTGAGTTCCCAGAAACAAAACCGTGAGGGTGTGGTTGGGGCTCAAAGCAGACAATATCGTGCTACGGCGGAGTCGAGCCCAGGATGTGGTGGGGGCCCGGGTTGGGATGTGACAATTTGATATCAGAGCCGATCCCTGGCCAGATGTGTGCCGATGAGAACGTCGGGCCCCTAAGGAGGGGTGGATTGTGACATCCCACATCGCCTAGAGGAGTGGATCATGTAAGCCTTATATGTATATTCTCATCTCTACCTAGCACGAGGCCTTATGGGAGTTCACTGGCTTCGGATTCCGTAAGGAGCTCCGAAGTTAAGCGAGTTCGCTGTGAGAGCAATTCCAAGATGGATGATCCAATGGGAAGTTCTTGTGTGAGTTCCTAGAAACAAAACCGTGAAGGTGTAATCGGGGCCCAAAACGGATAATATTGTGCTATGACAGAGTCAAGCTCGGGATATAATGGAGCCCAAACCAGAATGTGACAAAATATACTTGTCAGTTGAAAACTTTATTAAATGAATTAAATGAGCACTAATTATTATACTTTAAACAAACATTTTTTGTTAGAAACTTCTAGTTTCAGTACTCCTAATTACACCTTCTAGTTTCAGTACTTCTGTTTTTAGTACTTTTCTTTCAAGATCGAGTTACTTACTGTAGAGTGTACTTGTGCATTCATTTTTATTTTTTTGTCAAAATCATGCTTTTTGACTAAATGTGATTCTATTTTTATCCCAATAAAAAAGAAAAAGAAAAGGAGGAGTGAGAAGAAAATTGCAGAAATAAGTGATCATTTATTATAATAGTAGAAAAATGTTAAGTTTGCATGGGATTTAATTTTTAGTTAATGGTTAATTTAACATTTAATCTAATAATAAAATTATTATTTGAAAAAAATAAAAAAATCGCAGAAATTGAACCACACACCGGCATACTGCTTGCGTGCGGTGTACGACGGATCCTATTCTATGAGAATCTGAACACGGAACTTTGATTCCTCTGTCTCTACTGTTTCATTTCGTATTTTTCTCCCCCAGTTCTGTCTCTGTCTCTGTCTCTCACATACAAAGAAACTACATAGATTGAAGTTAATTGGGTTCTGAGGAATTGAAAAAACACAGAAAACAAAATTATGGGATCGTTGAAGAAGGAAGAGGAGGAGCTGGAACAATCGGAGGAGGACTCAAAAGAGGCCATACTGTATGTCAATGGAGTTCGAAGAGTTTTGCCTGACGGGTTGGCCCATTTGAGCCTTCTCGAGTATCTCAGAGGTATGATTTTTGATCATTTCCTTTTATCTTTTTAATTGTAATTGCAACTTGGTTTTGCTAGTTTTGTTTGTTTGATTGCCAGGAAAAGTGGGAAGAGAAAAAGTTCAGATTAGTTTGGTCTTGTAATCTGTTTAGTTTGTTTTGTTGTTGTTACAAGATGCCATAGTTCTTGTATTCCTATTTGTGTTTGTGTCTTTGGTTGTCTTTGGTCCTTTCCTTTGTCTTGAGATTTTGGTTTTTCTTAAGAAACTTCAATCACTTTGGAATTCGAGAGTTAACTGATGGATGAGTTTGCGTGGAAATCAATGGATGGTTCTTCTGGTAGACTAGTCCAGTTCTGTTTTCGCCCCTCTCGTGCAGTTTGGAAGGTCAATGGATGCCGAATATTTAGATTGCTTAATGCTCCGTTGATCCTGATGCCTACTGTTTGTGGATGATTAGGGAGTCTAGTTTGGGCAACCCCGGAATCTTTTAATGCATTACTTTGTGAGAAGCCTAAGTTTTATCCAAGGGAGGAAGGGGGAATGATGCATTGAAGATGGACTATCTTGGAGATATTTTGGGTTGTTTGGATGGAGAGTAATAGGAAATTTTTAGGCCGCTAGGCGCTAGGCGGGATGATGCATGCAGACCGTTTGTAGTACATACTTTGTTTCTGGACATTCTTATGGACTTCATTTAATCATGTTTTAAGGTTGTGTATTAGTTTGTTCTTTTGTTTTGTTTTCATTTGGTGTCTTCTGCTTTGTCGTTCTTTAGTTTGGAACTCGGGCGTGGTTTAGGGATTGCCTTGTCCCTTGTGTTGTAGTTTCTTTTATATAAGAAAGAAGAGTATTCTTGAACTACGGAGCTGATTGCTGTTAATAAATGTCATAAATGTCATAATGGTCAATATTTTTTGCGCTGCATCTTTTACATTCTTAATTGCTGATTTCTTTCAGATTTTGTTGTCCACTTTGGTTCTTTATGTCAAAAAACACCTAATTAGGTTCGATGGCCTTTTCGACAATACAGATATAGGTTTGACGGGGACAAAGCTTGGCTGTGGTGAAGGTGGTTGTGGTGCTTGCACTGTTATGGTTTCGCATTACGACAAAGAACTGAAGAAAAGTTTGTGAGTCTCCCCTTCTCTTAAATATACATTCGCTCACATACATTCGGATCAGACTGAAAATATTTTGTTTATTTTCTTTTGTAAAATCATTTTGCAGCCACTATGCCGTCAATGCATGCTTGGCTCCTTTGTATTCTGTAGAAGGGATGCATGTAATTACTGTGGAAGGACTAGGGAGCCACAAGCAGGGCTTGCACCCAATTCAAGTAATATATGCTTCCTTTCTTTTTGCTTCTTGTATCCATTATTACTTTTAAGTTAATCGGAATGATACTGCATACATTACCTAGTTTAGCCGGTAGGATCTCTTGTTTCATACATGGGGCATGAGTTGTTTAGGTAGAGAGACGCTATCTCTTACTGTGTACCATGGATCTGCAACGTGAAATCAAGGGGACCCTTGAGGAACACCTAAGGCATTCCTCTGTTTAGTTAAATTGCGAAGAGGATTAAGCCTTGTGGGCACGTGATTTGTTTCACCAAGGTCAAACAACGACATTTGAGCTGGGGTTTTGATTTCAATTCTTTATTATTTTGTAGAAAATCAAATTCCTAGCTGCTGCTAAGTCTAGATCCCTCCAGGTCACTCTAAAACCTAATAAACGCCCAGCCCTTAACACACAACCCCCATAGATGGGATACTCAGTAGCTCGAAGGTGCATCCTGCAACCGAGTTGCTGTAAGGATACATTCCCCTGTTGGCCTGCATTTTGTAAGTTCTGCCATTTATTTCTTCGTCCATTCCCCTGCATGGTGGACTTTGTTTTCGTGAACAACTCCGAAGTGCTCTTGCTGGGGATTATTTCAGTAATCAGCCATGAATAGGAAGGAGTTTGATTGGAAGCATGCAAAAGAAATTGGATGGAGAAAAAGGAAACTTAAGGTACATATTTTGTAATCCCCAATTGGGTGAGGGCATTTGTAGGCTTACATCACTTAGCATATTCTGTAATCAACAATTCATGGAAGGTGTTTATAGGCTTAAAAATCACACTCACGATTGTGTACAGTCTCACAAAAGTTGTAAAGTTGGAATCCCATACAGTTTTGAAACATTGATAGAAGTAGCACAGAAAAAATACAAACACTCAGCGTAAGCAGTACCAAAATGTGCTTTAAGAATTCCTAGCTGTAATTGTGTTGCATAAGATAGGAATTCATCCTGTATACTGATATATACCACTAGATCGATAAGTTGATTGGCCATTTCATGCTCCAGATTTTTTTTCTGATTTAGTCACTCTTTCTCGGGCGAAAGAGATGATATCTCAATCGTGGGAACATGATATGTTTTATCCGACAACTGTGTTATACTGAATTGCTTTTCTTGAGATTGGGGAGGATCCTGGGTGGAGGAGTCTGGAGTATGGAACCTCCATTAAAGTACGTAACCTGCCTAATTGAGATTCTAACCTATGCCTATTTTCTTTCATGTTATTTAGGAATCATTGGCACGATCTCATGGTTCACAATGTGGATATTGCACCCCCGGTTTTATTATGTCCATCTATGCCTTGTTAAGGTCAAGTCAGAAACCACCTAATGAGGAGCAGATTGAAGAATGTCTTGCAGGAAATTTGTGTAGATGCACAGGTTACAGGCCAATTGTTGATGCTTTTCGTGTCTTTGCCAAAACAAATGATACACCATACATTAATACATCTTCACTAAGCTCCGAAGGAGGTGAGTTTGTGTGCCCTTCGACTGGAAAGCCCTGTTCATGTGGATTGAAAAGTGAAAGTTCATGCACCACTCATGAAAGTGGCACTCATGGTGAGAGGTATGCACCTGTCTCGTACAGTGAAATTGATGGAAGCACATACACAGACAAGGAGTTTATTTTTCCTCCTGAGCTATTATTGAGAAAATCGACTTATTTGAGTTTGACTGGTTTTGGTGGATTAAAGTGGTTCCAACCGTTGAGTCTTAAACAAGTGCTAGGATTGAAGGAAAAATACCCTGATGCAAAATTATTGGTAGGCAATACAGAGGTGGGAATTGAAATGAGGTTGAAAAAAATTCAACATAAGGTTTTGATTTTCGTTACAAATGTACCTGAACTCAGTAAATTGACTGTGAAGGATGATGGCATAGAGATAGGTTCAGCAGTAAGACTTTCTGAACTACTTAAAGTTCTAAGAACGGTCATAACAGAACGCGCAGCTCATGAAACTTCTGCTTGTAAGGCCTTTGTTGAACAATTAAAATGGTTTGCTGGGGTGCAGATAAGAAATGTTGCGTCTGTGGGTGGAAATATCTGTACAGCCAGTCCAATATCAGACTTGAACCCTCTTTGGATGGCCTCTAGAGCGAAATTTCAGATTATTGATTGCAAAGGGAATATTAGAATGACACTGGCAGAGAACTTTTTCTTGGATTACCGAAAGGTGGATCTGGCCAGTGGTGAAATTTTACTCTCTGTATTTTTACCTTGGACTAGGTCCTTCGAGTATGTGAAAGAGTATAAGCAAGCTCACAGAAGGGACGATGATATTGCAATTGTGAATGCTGGGATTCGTGTTCATCTTGAGGACAGAGATGGCTGGGTTGTGTCTGATGCGTCCATTGCTTATGGTGGAGTTGCTCGACTCTCTCTTTCTGCAAAAAGAACGAAAAATTTTCTCATTGGGAAGAGTTGGAACCAGGAGATGTTGCAGGGTGCCTTGAAAGTCCTGCAAGAAGATGTATTGCTCAAGGATGATGCTCCTGGTGGAATGGTGGAGTTTCGTAGATCATTGAGTGTTAGCTTTTTCTTCAAATTTTTTCTTTGGGTTTCTCATCAAATGGAAGGGAAGCAATGCATTAAAGAGAGTGTACCATTATCTCATCTTTCTGCTGTACAATCGTTTCACCGGCCACCTGTTATAGGATCTCAAGATTATGAAGTTATAAAATGTGGGACAGCTGTTGGGTCTCCCGAGGTTCATTTATCAGCAAGACTTCAGGTATATTCTTGGATATACTGGCAAACTGTTTTTTAATTTTTTTGATATACCAGTTATTCAAATTTGTATTGTTTTGGGCCTATACTACCGAAGTTTGTAATTAACATTTGAGAGTTGGACGGCGCAATTATTTTATGTATTGCTAATGTGAAATTAAATGGCGTGAAGGTCCTTTTTATTTGGAAATTGGTATAAATCTGTGCACGGTACATGAAAATTTTCTCGTAGAGAGTAGCAGTATGGTGTTGGTATTGATACGATAATTTCTACCAGGTTACAGGAGAAGCGGAATATGCTGATGACACACCATTGCCTCCTAATTGTTTACACGCTGCTTTAATACTCAGCAGAAAGCCTCACGCTCGTATATGTTCAATCGATGATTCTGAAGCAAAGTTATCACCTGGGTTTGCAGGCATATATTTAGCAAAGAACGTTCCAGCTGATAATAACATTGGACCAGTTGTTGAAGACGAGGAACTATTTGCTTCAGAATTTGTCACTTGTGTAGGTCAGGTATGATGGTTAAAATCTCTCTCTCTCGCTCTCTCTCTCTCTCTCTCTCTCTCTCTCTCACTCTCTCTCTCTCCTGCATGCATCCAAGGCTATGTAGGATTTTTTCTTGCGTGGTACATTTGGTGCTATGCAACCCTGCTATCCTCTTTTAGGAATTTATCCTTGGTGTTATTCAACATTTTATGCAGGTTATAGGAGTGGTAGTTGCTGATACACATGAGAATGCAAAACTAGCAGCGAGGAAGGTTCATGTTGAGTATGAAGAGCAACCAGCCATCTTATCAATACAGGATGCCATTGATGCCAAAAGTTTCCATCCGAATACGGAGAGGTGTTTTAGGAAAGGGGATGTGGATATTTGCTTTCAATCAAGTCAATGTGACCATGTCATAGAGGGGGAAGTTCGAGTCGGCGGACAGGAACACTTCTATTTGGAGCCAAATAGCAGTGTGGTATGGACAGTGGATGGTGGCAATGAAGTTCATATGATCTCATCCACTCAGGTATGTTAGAAACGCCCTGAAAGAATTGCTTCTTCAACCAATTTAGATATGACGGAAATGGGAGTCTTAAGTTGTACCTTTTTCCTCTTTTGATAAGGTTTTATTTCTTATGAAAAAGAGGACATCCTGTTTTACTCAAAGGTGCTTTTAAAAGCGCTTGATCCTCATATTGACAAAGCATAGCTCAACATTTCTCGTCTTCCATTGAATACTGCAAAGCGTCGAGTGAATGGGTCAATTACATTAGCCACATGTTTGACATCCTTCCCCCACTTGGGTAAGTATGTGATGCTCCTGGCTGGGCAATTAATTCAGAATTACAGCAGAATAGCTCCCTAAAACCCAGTGCCCTATCTGCTGTCCCTAAAACCCACTCTATCTTTGATATCGTTGAAGCAGGCACTTTTGGGTTCCAAAGTTAACCTGCAAGCCCAATATTTCCCAAATCGATCCACCCTTCCCATCTCTAGCCAAGCAGCTAGAGCGTCCCTTTCTTCATGAGGAGATGCTCAAGAACATAGTTGACTAGTGGAAATTGACCTCTTCTTGATACAACCATATTTATTTTCTGAACTAGCAGATATGTGCATTGAAGTTATAGTACCGCCGATCCCATTCAACCTATTGGATGATACCTTGGAGATGATTTGAGTTGCCACATTGCATAGACTAATTAGCCAAATTGTATCATGTTCATCAGGTCTAAGACCGACGCTAGTGTGATTCAGCTTTTAAGTTGAATACCCTGGTGGAATAACCTTACACTTAGCCACCTTAACCTCCTCCCAAAACTCTTGAAAGATTTTATGGACCTTTCTATTTTCCCAGTTACTTTGGTAGCGTTTTAACGCTCCATACTTAGCTTTCCAGTCGCTTCTTTTATATTGGTGCATAGACACATTACCTCTCTCTCCCTCCCCCCTTTCTTCAATTACTATTGTTCCTAAGTACTGGTTGTATGTATTACAAGTATTTATGTGATGATTGGAAAAAGTTTGTTAGGGACCAGTGTCAATTGAATGTCTATGACTTTATTTTAGTACTTAATTTTCTAATGCAATGTAAAACGAAATCATCAATCTGCAGGCCCCTCAGAAGCACCAGAAATACGTTTCTCATGTTCTTGGTCTTCCAATGTCGAAAGTCGTTTGTAAAACTAAGCGCATTGGTGGTGGTTTTGGCGGCAAGGAGACTAGGTCAGCTTTCATTGCTGCTGCAGCCGCGGTTCCAGCATATCTGTTAAATCGTCCAGTTAAAATTACATTAGACCGTGATACAGATATGATGATAACTGGACAACGCCATAGCTTTCTCGGAAAGTACAAGGTTTACTTCTGTTACTGTAATTGTATTTTCTGTTGGATCACCACATTTATGTCCTGCTCATAGGTTTTACAATCTGATGTTAGCAGTACCTCTTTTTCGTTTGTTCAAATTGTTGGTTCCTTTTTCTTTTGTCAAATAAGTGACAACGGACAAGCGCTGCTATATAAAAGAAATTAAGAAAAGACTATTCATGCCACAAAATACACAGTGGGACTTTAGTATCAAGCATTAACAATTTGGCCCCTTCTATGGTTCATTTACCTTGTACAAAATTCTATTACCTGATTTAACTTTGATTAGGCGAAGAGAAATATGAAATACTCCTTTAATTCAAGGAAAAAAAATGGAGAAGAGGGAGAAGGTTTAGGTTTAGGGTTTAGGTCAATTATGCTATTATTGTTTAGTTGGATTTCATTTTTTTCTTTGTTGAAGTTACATCACATGTGATAGAATGAAAGAAAAGTATTGATTTCATATATGCTTTTACACAGGTTGGATTTACAAATGAGGGCAAGGTGTTGGCACTGGATCTTGAAATCTACAATAATGCTGGAAATTCGCTAGATTTGTCTCTTCCCGTACTTGAACGTGCTATGTTTCACTCAGATAACGTCTATGAGATTCCAAATGTGAGGATTGTAGGAAGGGTTTGCTTCACTAACATTCCAAGTAACACTGCTTTTCGAGGATTTGGTGGTCCTCAAGGTATGATTATTGTGGAAAATTGGATTCAGAGGATTGCTGCAGAACTCAAAAAAAGCCCAGAAGAGATAAAGGTACGTTAAGAAATTTTATTATGTTGTATTCCTTATGTTGCAGTTGTACCTTCAGTTCATAAGCACCACATTCCTCTTAATTTGAGCTTGTTATATAAATTTGTTTCAGGAAATTAATTTTCAAGGTGAAGGATCAATATTGCATTATGGTCAACAACTTAAACACTGCACATTGGGTCCGCTCTGGAATCAACTGAAGTCATCTTGTGAATTTTCAAAGGCTCGCTACGAAGTTGACCAATTTAATATTCAAAATCGGTGGCGGAAGCGTGGTATTGCCATGGTTCCAACAAAATTTGGCATAGCCTTTACGTCAAAGTTTATGAACCAGGTAAGTTTTCATAAGCCATGTTTTTTTCGCTATAAAACTGTTAGAAAAATACAGGTTGGACAAAAGGATTTTTTACTATCTTATTTTTTAGAACAATTTTATAAGGGGAGTGGGGAGGGTTTGAACATAGTACAATAATTAAGGGAAGGGAGGAGTTTCAAACCCGGGACGCATGGGTAGAACCAACACCCTATCCAATCTTTTGCCTATAATTGATTTTCATTTCTATACGCTATGCAATCATGCTATTAGAATCCTGATGAGGCGTTCTTAAATGACTCTTAGGCAGGTGCTCTTGTTCATGTCTACACAGACGGAACTGTTTTAGTCTCACATGGAGGTGTAGAGATGGGGCAAGGTTTACATACAAAAGTTGCTCAGGTCGCTGCTTCCGCCTTCAATATCCCTCTCGGTTCTGTCTTTATTTCGGAGACAAGTACTGACAAGGTAATTGACAGTGTTCCATTTCCTTATGGGGAACTTTGGTTTGGCGGTTAGATTTTGCACCTCGTTTATTCATCCAAGCTAAAGATAATGTAATAGGTGTATCAATTTATTATATATGTCATATGGAATGGAAACCTTGTGCACACTTTGGATCTCTTATTGCTGCCTAAAGGGCAAGGGGCCGTTCCCGTTTCTGCTGTTTTATGGTTCTTTAGGATACCTGTGATTGTCCTAAAGGGACTCTTAAGCTTTGTTAGAATTAGACCATCCAATTCAACCAATTGCAACGGATGGAGAGTGTCAGGACTTTATAGATTAATATGTAGTAAGGCTCATAACTCCCTATGTAGGATTCCACGTTCTCCACAAGTTTATGCATTATTATATCAAGGAAGTTGCTAGAGTGCTGTTTCTGCAGTTGATGTTGAAATGTGTTGGATAATAGTAAAATTTACAAGAATGTGTGTACGAATTAGAGCCTGTAATTCTCTGTAGCACTTAAGATTGAATGGCTTTTGAAATAAATATTTTAACAAATTAATAGGTGTGAATAACTGGTTTATATTCCCTTCCGTTTCTGCTGTTTTATTTTTTATATATGCCCTACAAAGCTGATGATCCCCATGCTCGTATTTTGTTGGATTAATAAACTAGGTTCCTAATGCAACGCCAACAGCAGCTTCTGCAAGTTCTGACATGTATGGAGCTGCAGTTCTAGATGCATGTGAGAAAATTAAGGCACGTATGAAGCCTATTGCTTCACAGAAAAATTTCAGCTCTTTTGCCGAGGTACTCTTTCTCTCATAGTTTCCAAATACTGTTCCGTAATTTGGTAATCGTGTCTTTCATACAAGTTTATATCCTTCGTTCTCATGAGGAGCAAATGACTGTAGCATTTAGGATGCTTTGGCATTTACTCACCAGGAGCGTTCCAAAACAAAGAAGTTAATTATAATCCCAACGCAAAAAAGAGGAGAAAAACATTGTGCATGATTAGAAGTAAATCAATAAAATTGTTAGGCCATCAATTATATATCCAAAAATAAACTGAAAATGACGGTCAGTAAGATTTAAATGTTCCAAGATAAAGTTTTTGTTGCATGGGTTATTAATTGCTAATACCTTAGGGTGATCTATAATATTTTATCAGTCACAAACTTCTGCGAACATTTTCCTCCCCTGAATCCTGAACCCTAAACCATACATGGACTCTTATGTGAGCATTTTGCACTGAGAATTTCTAATGGTACAAAACTTATGTTAGCTTTGTGTTTCATAATTATTGTCAGCTGGCAAGTGCATGCTATGTGGAACGGATAGATCTTTCTGCTCATGGGTTTTACATTACACCGGAAATTGGCTTTGATTGGACAACTGGTAAAGGGAACCCATTCAACTACTTCACATATGGGGCTGCTTTTGCTGAGGTTGAAATTGATACATTGACTGGAGATTTTCACACTAGAACGGCTAACATATTCTTGGATCTTGGTTACTCTCTCAACCCCGCAATTGATGTTGGGCAGGTGTTTTTTCTTTCTCCATTTTTCTTTTTAGTATCATTATTTAATTTATCAGTAAAGATCCTCAAGATATGGAAAGTTTAGCACTATCTCAAACAATGCTTACTGAAGCCCTTTTTTAAGGGATCTCTATGTTGCAAACTTGCAACGGGCTATATTTCATGAACAGAACTGCATCTGGTATTCTTAAGTTATGTTTAGTAATCCTGTGTTGGGGTATGCTTTGTTTCAATAGGAATAAGTCGGGCTAGAACTGATGCTAAATGTTGCATAAATATAGATATACATAGACACATAAATACGAATACGTTAGAGTGAAAGAGAGATTGATTCTTGTCAGAATGTGTAGTCCAGATTCACAGTATGACAACATAACCATTTATCTGGCAAGAGACGAGTTAATAATCAGTCTGATCTCTGGCCTACGTTTCATACAATATAAGCACTTGCCTAGAAAGAGAACATTTCCATTTTATGTGGTAAACTATTCAGTGTATTTGTGATCTCTTGTTACATCAGTCAACTAAATTAATGCAGATGCTAACAAACTCCTGGATCCCGATCTAGTTTCAGACTTCCAATCTTGCTGTTTTTCTAGTCTTGTTTACGAAATGGGGGAGGGGGTGGTTGAACTTGGTGATTTATTTCAATTCGACCACAATAAATATTATGTTTCTTATGCAGATTGAAGGAGCATTTGTACAAGGTTTGGGATGGGTAGCTCTAGAAGAACTAAAGTGGGGCGATCCTGCTCATAAATGGATCTCACCCGGTTGCCTCTACACATCTGGGCCGGGAAGTTACAAGATTCCTTCCATTAATGATGTCCCCTTCAAATTCAGCGTTTCACTTCTGAAGGTATGCTGATTCCTTTAGAAGAGCATGTTATCCAATTAAAGGTTACTCTGGAAGGTAATTTGTCTACAAGTATTACGGGTGCAGTTCTAGAAGTCAATGAATGTCCTTGGGTTAATTTGTCTTTCATTAGCAAGTAGCGTGGGTTTTGTGGTTGGTGAATGTCCTTTGAACTACTTGAGGCTTCCATTGAGTGGTAACTCGTGTGCTTCGTGTTTTTGGGATGCAGTGATAGAAAACTATGAAAATGGTTAGTTGGGTGGAGGAAAGGTTTCCTTTTGAGTCAGTTAATTGGATAGGATAGTTAGCTTCTGTTTGGAAAAGCTTTAATTCTTTGCTTAACAATTGTATTTATTGAGATCGAATTTACTCGGCCACCCAGCGTACGTTAATGATTCTTTCTGCTGACTTGTTTGTTGTTTCCTTTACTAATTGACAGGGCCATCCAAATGTGAAGGCCATCCACTCATGTAAAGCTGTTGGTGAGCCACCATTTTTCTTGGCATCAGCCGTCTTCTTCGCCATCAAAGACGCCATAATAGCTGCAAGAGCAGAAGTAGGGTCTAATGAGTGGTTTCCACTTGATAATCCCGCGACACCTGAACGGATACGGATGGCCTGCTTAGACGAAATTATTGAACCACTTGTAAGCACAGATTTCCGCGCCAAGCTTAGCGTTTGATTACTAATTTCTGCTTTCCTGTATTTCGTCTATACGACTGGTATCGGACTTGTGCTAGACTGTTCGGTCTCTCATGTTTTTAGCCAATTACAACAGATGCATGTAAATTGTAATATTTTTGGTTTACATGAGATGTATACTCATACGGAATTTTTAAGGAGACGATATTCAAATGGGTAATGATTTCGGCTTCTGCACTTATTCCGTTGTTTATGCCCGTTGATTAGCTTACTGAAATTACAGTTAAGCGTTATGTTTGTGCTATAACAGCTCCCTTTGTAATCTACTCATATCATTTATCATGCATGACATTTTCCAATGAACATGTAGGCATTGGACTTACATGTTTTATTTATCAATCTATAAAGCGAACAATGTGATATTATAGATAGCTACCTTATCTTCTTCCCAACAAAAACAAAAACTAGCTTATCTTGGTACATTACTTGAGACCCACTTTTATTTTGTTGATTTTATGTACTTCTACCTACAACAATTTCTTGTGGTCCAAATTTTGTATATAGCAGTTGTTATGATGCAAATGTAAAACCATGTTAATTAACCCATAAACTTGAATTAAAAAAAGTAAATATAAAAAGTTAAAAAGTTCAGAGAATATAGTGTACTAAAGATGTAGAACATTGGTACCCTTTGTCAGCAGGGGCGAAGCTAAAAAGTTAGTTCGCTGGACGCATAGCTAAGCATTAGCAGATGCAGGTCTTGTGGAATTCCATACATAGTGAGTGCCAAAAAATTCAATTTTTTTAAGTGAGCCATTTTGTCGAGCAATTGGTCAACCCATACCCCATTGTGTGCTTAGTTAGCGTGCATCCCCCACCCTTTGTGCTATTTAATTGTTTTTAGGTCAATATTGTTATAGTAAACAAAGAGATAAATCATATATGTATAACACCTTTTATTAGACGTATGAAAGGAGAGAGGGTTAACGAGACTTTTATTGTTATGGTAAACTATTCTCCTCTTTCATCTGTTTCTTATTCGTGAGCTACCGAACGAAGTTTGCAATTAAACTTTTTTATGTTATATCTACCTTTGGTGGTTTTGAATGAGGAGTGAGTGATAGTGTTGGTGGTGGTAGTTAGTTGATTATTATTCATCCTAGTTTGATTCAATATATCAAGCAACATAAACCTATTGCTATTTAAACATACCCTTAGACGACTTTTCTCCCACCCAAACACTTGAACGGGAGGGGGTGGGGTGTGCGTGCCCCCTCTTGTCCTTAACATGATCGACCCTGCCCCTGAAGGAGCCTCAGAAAGCTCGTCACATGAAATAATCAATAAGTTAAGAGAATTTATTGAGCAGTTTTGAGTTCGATTCTCTTCTCTGCTTACATCATTTGTTATAAAATAATAGAGATAATTAACTATCACATACATGATATTTTTGGAGCAAACTAATTTCTTTTCGTATATTTAAATTGGAGGGCAGGGAGAGGAAAAAATATACTCGGATTGACATCATCGTTTCAGTACATACATGCATGTGGAATTGCAAAAGTCAGAATTCCTATAATATAAAATTGTTAATATCAAAATAGTAATTCGGTTGGAATATTGATATGCAGAAACATTTCAAGGGACAATTTGGAAAAGCTTAATGTAGCTTATGGGGCATATTGATTAATGAGTAATGACTATTTGGACTGGGCCTTTTCTAGAATATATGTTCGTACTATCCGTTACAAGTTCAAATTCTTCCTTTCATATATTAAATTAGTTCAAATCATCGCTGTGTCAAGAAATTTAATTTTGTGTGACGGACAATGCCTTCAATTTCAAACCTAATCAGTTATAAAATACTCTAGTATTATATGATCTTGTGCTGTAATTATACAAACATGTAAACGCCAAATTTAAAATTTATTTGAATGTTTGGGGAGGTAATTTTTTGGGAACCTTGATTGAACTGGTCTTGTGAGTTTATGAACTCGTTTGGATATGTTTTTAAAATGATTGAAAACGCTTTTGATGAAAATGTTTTTAAAACCATTCTTTAGTAAAGATGCAAGTAAATTATGAAAAAACACTTAAAATGCTTTCTGGAAAAAACACATAACCTGTGTTTCTTCTAGAAAACACTTTAAGTGATTTTGGAACCCAAAAATATTTTCCCTAAAATCGTTTTTAGTCATTTTAAAAGTACATTCAAACGAATTCATGCTTGCTATCATCATATTTCTGCTAGTTGTACTTTACAAAATTGACTTAAAAAAACTTTATGGTTATAAAATATACGCAAGGCATTTGGTATTTTTGGGCAATGAAACGACAATGAAGTACTAGAATATATGGGGTATCAACCACAGTTGTTTATAAAATTGATTTATTTTAATTTAACACCAACCCAGTTGATACATTCCAAGTTCCATAGGAAAATTTGTTAATTAAGAAAACCTAACGTCAACTGCTTCCTCTTACAAATTCAGAAATATTGCACAAGAATTTCAATGTCAACTAGTTATAATTCTGCGATCTAGTACTACGGTCAAGTGGTATTCATCCTCACATGTAAGTGAGAGATTTTAAATTCAGTTCTCGCCAAAGAGGAATTTGAACTACCTTATTACTAGTTCATTGCGAGGCTTAGCCCACCCCTTCCTCTTAGTGTAGATAATATTGTTTGTTAAAAAAAAAAAAAACAAAGTTGTAATTGGTTTTTTAATAATATGTGCCCAATTATTTTTCTCCATAATAGGCTATTCTACATGATTTAGTCTAAGACTATTTTCAAGTAGATTTGCATGAAGACCCTTATTGTGCAAGCCTAATGAGTAATGGGAACCCATTACCTAATTGTTTAATATTTGAACAAAGACATGAGATGATTTGCACGACTTAATTTGTCTCCAGTGGTTTACTACCCTACAGGTTGGAAACTTCATTTAACATTAAACAAATGCTCCTGTGATTGAAGGGATCACTATATAAGCTGTGAATCTCTTTCAGTTGTCACTTACAAACAACCCTGTGGTCTTGAAGTCGAAGAGATACGAGTCCCAAAAGGGTTTAGGGTTTTGCTCAAAAATAAGCCTGGCTTATGCCTTAGCTGTATGCTTGATAGCCACCAATGTAGCAGCCAGTTGTAACAAGCCTTATGTTTCTTCATCAACACCAGTACCTGCATCTTCATACCTACCACCCTATTCCTACAAGTCATCGGCACCGCCACATTATCCTCAAGAAACACCGCCTTACTACTACAAATCACCACCTCCTCCATCACGATCATCTCCACTTCCCTTTATTTAAAAATCTCCACCACCATCACCTCCCTCACGTCCCCCTCCTTATGTCTACAAGTCACCACCGCCTCCTCCTCCATCACCCCCACCTCCCTATATTTATAACTTTCCACCATCACCATCTCCCTCACCTCCCCCTCCTTATGTGTACAAATCCCCACCACCACCATCTCCCTCACCTCCCCCTCCTTATATCTACAAGTCACCACCACCTCCTTCTCCTCCCCCCCCCCCCTCTCCTCACATTTATAAATCACCACCACCACCACCCCCTCACCATCTCCTCCTCCTCCTCCTTATGTATACAAGTCAACACCTCCACCTTCTCCATCACCTCCCCCTCCTTATGTCTACAAGTCACCACCTCCTCCTTCTCTATCCCCACCTCCACCTTATGTCTACTGATGCGAGAATTACTTGACACTCAAATTAAACCCTCGTTTGACAATTGTAGTAGAATGGATAAGTGAGGGATCGTTCTAGACCGGGGATTAGGAGGGCTTGCTAAAACCTTCTAAAGTGACTTAAAAACATAAAAACTAAATTAAAATACTCTTAACAAGACTACTATGACTCAGAATGGCTTTGAAAAACTCAAATTGTCTAAAACAATCAAATTGACTCAAATGGAAGCTAGAACTTGATTTAGATGAATTTGCATTTATTTATGACTCCAAAAGCTTAAAGATACAAAAATAAAACATAAACGAATGATTAAGACTTAACAAAATAGGGGGGGGGGAATTGTGGTTGGACGATATTAAATTAAAAAGACAGAATATAATTAAAGGCAAAATGTAAATATGAATAAAAATATGGATGATGGAATAGCCAAGGGGTTCTTCTCCACACATGTTACACTTGCATACAAAATTGATTCTCAGTTGGTCTTTCGATAAGTTGTGAAACTCAATGCTCCAAGTTAATTAGGTCCGCTTAAATTAACTTTCAGATTTCCCTAGATTCGTTGGATTGAATGGAATACACATTACAACCAAATTATTCTTAATCAAAGTCCCTAACTATGGAATACGCATGATAGAGACATTCAACAAAGATCATTAAGTTCAACGGAAATCATAAACATTGACGAGGCATTCGTTACTATGGAATACGCATGAAACTTATGCCAAGAATTCGTTTAACGCGATTGTTTATAAGCAACCTCCACTACTTGTGAATATAAGTTCATAACGATTAGATGAAATTCACTTATATTCTAGCGTCATATTCATGCATGAAAATTAAGCGCGCATTCTTAATAAACATTCATAAATAAATTATCAATCAAACGGTTAAACAAATTGAATCCACAACTTATGAAATTCCAACGAAAGTTAATCAATTCATATTGCAAATATAAACATAGTTTTGAATCACCCCCTAGCTAAAGGGGGTTTAGTTCCTCATAAGTTTGAAATAAAGAAACCCCTAAACATTCCAACAACTCAAACTTGAATTGTATGAACGTTTAGGCACTCTTCTCTTCCACTCTCATACGTACAAAACAAAGAGAATTAAATTTAAACTTTGAAATCAAAGAAACACCTAAACATTCCAACAACTCTAACTTGAATTGTATGAACGTTTAGGCACTCTTCTCTTCCTCGTTGTTGTAGCACAAGGTCTAAGGGGAGCTTTGGGGATTATGTGAAGTGTTTTGGAGGGATGGGAAGTGGTTGGAGATGGAAGAAAAGATGCAAAATGGAAAGAAACTCACGGCTAGGGAAGGAATGGAAGTGTTTGTGGTGTGTTGTGTATGAAATGAGATGCTAATTGAATGAATGAATGCAAGGGTATTTATAGGAGTAGTGGAGGGAACATATGGCTATGTCATTTGTAGGTGAAGTAGGTGGATGTTGTAGGTGAAGTAGGTGGATGTTGTAGGTGAAGTGGATGTTGTAGGTGAAGTAGGTGGATGTTGTAGGTGAAA